CATCAAATTGTGGCCTTGGGGAAAATAACATGGCAGACCTTTTGGCAAAAAAAGGTACGGATATTCTCCAAAGGTCTTTCAAACTTATCTCTTCATTCTGCTAAACTTGAAATTAATAGGATTTATAAAAAATTCTTTCATAATGCTGCTGTTAGTGCTACTGAAAATAAACTCATAGAGGGTGCTATTAAAAGCCAACTGTGTCTCGGACTCTCCTCATGCTACTGCTTTGGCTGAGTTCAGAATATTGACTGGACATGACTGCCTTGGTGCTCATTTGTTTTATCTTAATCTGACTGATTCACCTTTACGTTCTTTGTGTGATTCTGGACAAGTCACGGATGCTGCTCATCTGGACGTGCGCTCTTCAGTTAAAGAGTTTGGACTGTATTGTACAGAAGTATTGGAGAGCTCGTTGCCTAATGACCTGATGGTCAATCATTTGATAAATAAAATATAAAAGATAATTTAAATTTTCTTCGGAGTTTGTAAGTGCTTTACTAAGATGGGGTGAAAAGCACCTGGTGAGGTGATAAGAAAGCAACTTTAATGGGCACCAGTATCTAATTAACACTTTAATGGGCACCAGTATCTACAAAAGCTGTAATCTTGAGTTTCTAGTGTTTCCTTTTGATTCTAAATGGCAGCACTACCCTATGAATGCTCAATATTTTGCAGTTATGAAGTTACTATATCTCATTCAAAGGTATCATGTTTGAAGATTCATAAATTCTATTGCAGGGGGAGAAAAATTTCAAAATCTGCAAAAGTATGATATACACATGCTAAACCTTACATATTTACTACATATGAATGAAAATTGATAATTAAAAGAAGATTATACAATTTTAGGACCTGCATATATAATATATGAGCGAAAATATATGAGCATATATAAAATATATGAGCGCCCGTACTGAGGGTACTATGCCAATTGATGGCAGCACCAGGCTTCTTCTCTACTCTGTGTGGTGACAGAATTTATTTATAACTGTTTATGATTTAATGTGATACAGTTGTTTATGATTAACATACAAGTATTAATATTATGTTCATGGGGAGAAGGGGAGTTTACTGACTCTGTGCTAAGGATGAATAAAAGTATTTTTGTTTCTTTGCATCCTTTACTTACTCCAGTCAAGTTTCTCATTGGTCTCTGTTTAGCTACAATTTAAAATTGACCACTTTAGTCTTTCCCCTGCAAAACACTCATTGATTTCCAAATTGTCGTCTGGTGTCAAAATGCTACACAATTGTTGGGGTTAAATGTGGCATGTTAGCCCCAAAAGACACCAATCCCTTCATGTTTTCCCAAATCCTAGAAAGCATAAAAAATGAAAAGAATGATTGATAGATAATTTGGTCATGCTGTCTCCATGGCAGGGCTGTGATAAGATCATACAAAAGGAAAATTCACAAATAAAGAAAATAAGAGGGAATAGAAAAAGGTCAGTCTCTTTTCATCTGGATGTGGAATGGAAAATCTGCTGATTTGAAAGCATGCTTTTTGTTTTAGAGGATCATCTTTGTTAATTTCAGATGACAGACTAGGGAACACAAAAGAAATCTTTCCCCTGGGTAAGAATACAAGTACGTAGTTTTAGAAATAAGTCTTCAAAGTGAAATATTTCCAAGGCCAGTTTTTAGGCCCAAAGGAAGGAAATATTTTTAAGGCCAGTTTTAGATGTACAGCACTGGAAAAAAGAGGTAAATATTTGAGCTTTTTAGGATGGTGATAGTTGAGCTTTTTAGGATGGTGAAGTGTTGGAAAATGCCTAAAAGAGGACTTTCTGTGGGGGAACCACTTATTCTGCTTGAATAGCTTCCTTCTGATGAACCCGATATTGCTGTATATGACACTTCTGATGAAGAATATTCAGCACAAAATAAAGAAGAGGTTATGTCTCATATGAGTCAGACTTAGATGAGAATTAAAGCCATGCCTATGATATGTAGGAGATAGGTCCTTCTTATGAATTACAAATCACGTGGGGAAAAGGGAAGAAGTGACAGTTCTGAAATTTTCAGAAAGAAGGGGGTCATCAGATGAAGTTTTGGCTGTGGAAGATAAATCCTCTATTTCATTACTTCTCTTTTTATTTGACAAGGCATTGATGAAAAACATAGTTTTCAGACACAATTATATGCAATGCAAAAGGACAAACCTTTTAAGAGTTTAAATTTACATGAATTTTTAGTTCTTAGTAATTGATGTGGATAAAGACAATTCCCAAACAAAGAAATTATTGGTCCTCTGCATTAGAAACGCATGATTCCTGAACAAATGCCCGTGAAATGATTTACATGGGTTTTATCACAATACTTGTCATTTTAAGACAGGTGTAGCAGAATTTGATAAACTACATAAATTGCAGCCAATTTTGCCAAATCTGGCTGAAACATTTTTGAATGCATTGCATCCACACCAAAATCAAGCTGTAGAATGAGTCTATGATCATATTTAAAGGACATACTTGATGGCATATAAGACGTACTTTTTTTTCCTAAATTTGGTCTCAATAAAGTTACCTGTGTCTTATACATGAAAGACACAGGTTAACTTTCAATACTGAATGTTATTTTTAATCCGGATAAAGTTCTAGACACATAGAACTTTTTCTACATCTGCCATAATTATTTTGCACATGCGTGAAATATCTGTCGCCAAAAAGCACCAAAGCTCGAACAGGTTCAATGGTCACATTACGTCTATGAAGCCTTTCCTTCTCTACATACACTTTCTTTGACTCAGTTGACACACGTGTCGATATCGGTGATACTCTCTCTAAACGTGTCGGTATCGGTGCTTAAAACTATTTGTTTTAAATAAATACCCTGGAAAATATGACTACAGGAAACATAAGATTAAGCTATACAATTCAGTATAAACTAGGAAAGTGAATGGAAACAGAGCAGCAGCAAGGCATTTTGGTCCACCACCTACCGAAAAAATGATACATATTTGGCGACTGCAGGAAGATCAATTGAAAACTGCTAATAAACAAAAACATAACCTTTGACGCCCAGCTTCATCTTGGCCTGAACTTGAAATTGCCATAAAAATGTGGGTGATAGATAAGAGGAAATCTGGGATAAGTGTTTCAACTAAAATGATAATCAATGAGACCAAAGGATTTGCAGAAAAACATGGGGGAATCAGAAACTTTTCAGGGTTCTGAGGGCTGGTGCTACAGGTTCATGAACAGGACAGGCTTATCAATGCACACAAAAACAACTATAGCACAGAAAATGACAGCAGATTATGAAGAAAAAATACTAGCATTTCATAGGTTTGTTATAAATGCACACAAGAAAACTTCTTTTGAGCTCAGTCAAATAGGATATATGGATGAAATTCCACTCACATTTGATGTACCATCCAACAAAACTGTGAGTATTAAAGGGTCTAAATCATTAACCATAAAAACCACAGGTCACGAAAAAAATCCGATATATGGTAGTTCTATCATGTTGTGCTAATGGCACAAAACTACCGTCGTTTCTCATATTCAAAAGAAAAATTTCCAACGGGTCTAATTGCTCATGTTCATCCGAAAGGCTGGATGGACGAAGCTGGAATGAAACTGTGGTCACAGAATGTATGGGTGAGGCAACTGGGTGGACTCTCAACCTTTTGACTGTCATGCCCGAGATTGTTCGAAAATGTCATGCCCGAGAATTACTCGGGGTAATATTTTTTTGAGTGCATCGTGTTGTTACACCCGAATATACCGTAATTTCTGGATGAAACGCCGCGCCGTTTACGTGTTTAAAACTTAAAATTTTCAGCGGGTGTGGCATTTCTACCTATGCGGCGTTTAGGTGCACTAAAAATAAAATATTTCCTACGATGGTCATTGTACATAGTTTGGATGGCCTTGTCATTGTGCATAGACTGGTGCTTTTCCAACACAAAAGACCACTCAGTTGCTTTTGCGAACGTTATTTTGTTTACATTCTTTCCCTTGAACGGACCTACATGCCTTACTCACCCTAAGCGAGATCTCGGAACAATAACATTCTTCCCCCTTTCAAATCAACATTCTCATCAGTTTGAATAGTCTCCCTTCTCTGCTATTCGATAAATCTTCCAGGACCCATCCTCTCTCCACCCCTGCCTTTTCTGCAATTTTTTTCAAAGGCGGACACGACTCCACCTGCCTCGCAATAATGAACTCTGACGTATTTCCCCTTCAGCATGAATGGATTTTTCTTGGCATTCTGCCAAATACAGATCCCATCAGTTTGGGTACAAGTACTTGTTGGATAGTTTTTAAGTAAGAAGGGAGCGAAAATGTCTCTAAACGGCACAGAAGCTATACAATTCTTACCTTTAATTTATTTTTAAGTTATGGTTTCATTTCATGCATTTTTCTTAATTGGTATGTCATATATCAGGACTTGAGTTTTTGCATCTATACGGCCCACGACGATGTCACGCGCAATTTAATCTATTGCAGCGTTTCTGTGTAATTTTAATTTTTTTCCCGCCATTTTTCTCGAGTGCGGCGTTTACGCTGATGCAGCCTTTCTTCCGGAAATTACGGTATATCAGGAGGCGTTTATTTCAGCTTCATCTCTGTCAAACTCAACAGTATCTCGGGAAAATTTAATGTGCGCTTAATTGAGTAGATGGCAGTACTTTACTGAAGATTTCAAGGGTTAAAGGTTAGAAGTTCTTTGGTTCAAAGTGCGCGGGATCTTTTTGTTGTAAAATGGCGTCCAGTTCTTTGAAACGTTATATAGATGATTTAGATGCTTCAACCGAAGATGATGATTTTGAAGGCATCGATACTAGTGATGCAGGTGAAACTGAGGAGAGTAACATTGAAAGTAGCAGTGAATCAACGGATAGCGGTGATGATGATATAGGAAATGCGGGAGACCTGGTGTGAAATAACTGCTTCTGGCCGATTGGGGCCCCCGCGGCTCCCTTTTACAGGTAATCCAGGTGTAACTTTTCCTGTAAAATAAACTACGCTCCTTTAGATATTTTAGAAATGTTTCTGGATTCAAATCTAATGGAAATAATTGTCAAAGAAACGAACAACTATGCAGAACAAGAAAGAAAAGCAAATCGGGCAAAGATATCAAGGTGCTCCCGCAGTAAAAAATGGATCCCTACAAATGACAGAGAAATGAAGCTATTCTTTGGGCTAATAATTCTTCAAGGTATTTTCCGAAAACCAAATCAGGCTATGTACTGGTCTCATCGAAGGATTTGGCATAAACCAGTTTACTCAAAAGTAATGCTCGTAAATCGTTTTATTTTGCTTTTTCGATATTTACATTTTTGCAATAATGAAGCTGGAAAAAAAGATGATTTTCCAAATCCAAAACTTTGGAAGCTGTATAAGGTGATAGAAAATTTAAGGGAAAAATTTTGTAATTTTTACATACCGGAAAGTGATGTATCGGTTGATGAAAGCTTGATGCCTTATAAAGGAAGGTTATCTTGGAAACAATATATTCCTATCAAACGTGCATGATTTGGAATGAAATTTTTTATGCTTTGTGAGGCAGAAACAAGGTATAGTTGTGACTTCATTATCTATACAGGAAACAGTAATGTCTTCAATGAATTGTATACAAATTATGGACTTTCTACAAAAGTCGTCATGCACCTATTGCATCGCTTTCTTGGAAATGGTTATTGTGTGACTGTAGATAACTATTACGTTTCACCCGAGCTTGTAGATTTACTTGTAGCCCAAAAAACAGATATTTATGGAACAGTAAGGATAAATAGACGAGATTTACCTACAGAATTCGCTAAAAGAAAATTGCAAAAATGTGAAATCATAGCTTTTCAAAGAGGTAAGATTTTGGCTATAAAGGTGGAAAGATAAGAAGGATGTGTGTTTGATGAGTAGTATTCATGATACTTCCATGGTCAGCCTCAAAAATTAAAAAAAAATGAAGATATACTCAAGCCGATGATTGTTTCTGACTACAATCTAACTATGGGTGGTGTAGATCACTGTGATCAGGAAATATCCTTTCTTCCAACAATCCGAAAATGTCAGAAAAAATAGTATAAAAAGATATTTTTACATTTACTAGACAAGGTACTCTGGAACTCATATTTGCTGTATAAAAATGTAGTTGGAAAACATATTACATTTTTAGAATTTCGAATCCAAGTTGTAGAAGAGCTTTTACATAAATACGATGATGCAGCTTCTGGACAAAAGAATGTTGGCAGACCACCTACACGATTCTGGTGTAGTGATTGTGGAGTTGGTTTGTGCTTGGAAAAGTGTTTCCAGTTGTACCACACAAGACTGAATTACTGAACTACTAATAGGTATTCACTTTTCCTTATTTTTTAGAAAACAATTAATTTTTTTTTCATTTTTTGAAAATAATGCTCCACTAGAAGCAAACTTTACAAGTGCCATGTTGAGTGGCAGCCGCCTCAAGCAAATATGCAGTGGCTACAAAAGTTTAAAAATCTGACCCATGTACTTCAAAATATAAATTTTTAACTACTAAGTATATTTTATTTTATACTAAACATTTGATTTTTGCAATAAAAAATTTGACAATTTGTGTACCCAAATCATCAAAATAACTTGACAGTTAAAGGGTTACGAAAACCCTCTCTTTTGGTTTTGGATCAGTTTAGCATCCATAGAACTGAAACCATAAAGAATAAAGCTAGAGAATTAAAAACCCAGATAGCTGTCATTCCTGGTGGACTGACTAGCCAAATGCAGCCTTTAGATGTATCCTTGAATAAGCCATTTAAGGAAAAAGTGCGAGAACGATGGAACAAGTGGATACGAGAGCCACATGACGCCCTCACACCCTCAGGTAGAATGAAGCGGCCCTCTATTTCACAAGTGTGCGAGTGAGTAAAAGATCTTGGGAGGACGTAAAGGCTGAAGTAATTGTTGTCCTTTAAGAAGTGCGGAATCAGTAATGCTCTTGACGGAACAGAAGACGACGCATTATTCGAAGAAGGTGATACTAGCGATGATGGAAACACTAGTGATGACAATATTCTTGTTTTCAATGATGATGATAGTGAAAAGGATTTTTATGGTATTGAAAGTGATTAAAGTCTAATTTTATGATAGGCAACATTTTCCTTGAATCTGTGTTTTTTGTTGTTTCTGCTTTATTTTGTATTATGTTTGCTTGCCGTTCATTCATTTATTCATTACTGAAATTTACATATCATGTACAAAATAGTTTGCCGTTTGTTAATTTTTCTTAATAAAAATATTTTTGGTAGTTGCATTCAATGATTGTTTATTTGGTTTTTACGAAACGCGAGAACTAAAAGAAACTACATTTTAAGTTACTGGACTATTTAAACTTTTTTTCCTTGTGTGTGGCCTTCTAAATAAGGGTGCGTCTTACATGCCGTCAAATACGGTAGTTATTGAAGCAATACATGACAAAGCAACCAATCAAGCCTGCTACAAGATATGGATGCAGTATGATGAAAATGGATTTATCAGCCAATTTGACATTTATAATGGCAAAATAGGTGAAGAAGCAGAAAAACATTTAGCAGAAAGAGTCGTCAAAAAATTTGTTGAGAAAAATCACATTGTGCTCTATTAGTTGAGAAAAATCACAACTTTTTATGGACAGTTTTTCATGATGCACAATTTATTTTGATTTCTAAAAACGTAAAAAATATGCTGTGGAACAGTAAATGTGAACAGGAAAAACCTGCCTAAAAACCTTAAAGAAGAACCTGCCTTAGGAACAGGAGATTTTGATTTCTCAGTTAGCAGCGGCATGACTGCATGCATGAAATGGGAAGCTAAGAGATGAAAATGTCTTATCAAATCGAAATCATCCGACTCATAATCTTCAAGAGCAAAGAAATGAAAATGACGGAACTATGAAAAACATTCCCTGCCCAAAAGGCTATTCTGGACTATAATAGTAACATGGAATTGGTAGACCACTTCGATTATTTAAGAAGCATACACAAAATACACGCAATAATTGCAAGGATGATTTCTTACCTTCTGCAGCAGTTAAATACCATTCCCACATAATCACGTCCCCTCCACATCAACCAGGTGAGTTCATTGAAAAATGTGAGGATGGTCACAATATTTTTGCTTGTCAGTGTATATTTCATTTCTGTTGGTATATTTCATTTCTGTTGGTGGGTGTAGGAGGCCCCAGCTCACTGGTTTGTCTGGGTGACCATAATTCTATAAAGGTGACACTGCCTTACACCCTGTGATTTTTTGCTTTGAGGATGTGCTTAAGACAATCTTAATGTGCTCTTACTGCCAGTAATATTAGAATTCCAGCTTGTTTGGTAACCATCAGCAGGGAAATTTTACTATGGGTCAAACTGGGATATTCTGTGGATATGTATCATGCAACAAAAGGAACACATATTCAACCTTTATAGCATTTTTATATCTGATAAACTCTCACTTATTTCATGAACTACTCATTTTGTTATTTATAATGTGTTATAAAATGACACTTTTAAAAATTTATGAATCACATATCTGAGTATTTATAAGTTTTATTGTGATATATTTAACTGCATGCCTTTCTCTTGAACTGTGGTAATTAATTTAATTTATTTGATAAAGAAAACTGCTCTAAATCACAAAGTACAAATAAAATCAAAATGTTGTATCTCTTTTAGCAGACTAGCTGTTCCAATAAAGCTGATGACTTACCCATTTAAAATTCATTAAACTCAGGTGAGAAATGAATTTTTCTCTTAAGTTTGTGCATAACAATTTCAATATTCAATCCTCATATTTATCCAATTTCAGAACATTTCAAGTATACATGACTAATTAGAATCTGTCACCAGTTCATAATCTTTCTTTCTATATATATATATATACAGGGTGGTCATAAAGAAACTTTGCCAACATCTGCATTTCTAACGTCTGTTCTGGTTAACAGATTGATATGCGATTGCAAACATAGTTATTCGGAGGTATGTGCTCAAGATTCCATGAATAGCAACATGGGCGCTCAAGGTTATGGTTATTACAGAAACTCACAAATGTCAGATTGCAGTGACGGTTATGTACTGCAGGAATTGCGTTGGTGGAATGCACTCAATGACATTATTTGGATGCAAGATGGTGCACCTCCATATATAGCAAGGTCTGTTAAAAGGGTCCTGGAACAGCATTTTGGTGATCGCATCATCTCGCACCATTCTCCTTTTCCGTGGTCTCTGCAATCCCCTGATCATGGAGGGATTTCTGGTTTTGGGAATATCTCAAACCCAGAGTTTACCTGTGCAATCCACAAACTTTGTCGGATTTAAAGGATTCTATACAGCGTGAGATTGCAAACATCATGCCAAGTTGTGTTCCGCGGTATTGTCCACCGTTTCCTGCATGCAATGCATACTTGCCTGTGATGGCAACCATGTGAAAAATGTTTGATCCAAATAGAAGCATTCTTTTTTCTGATACGTGTTGTTATCAGTGATAGGTGTCTTGTCTCTGTCGTATGCAGATTTTCTGCATGCGCCCAGATCGTGTTTCGTTGGCTGGTTCTCAGAACTCTTTTTTGTGCATGCATAACACGTTCGTTTTTGGACATATTGGTACCACTCCGACACTACTTAGGGTTTTCACACGCATTGAAAATTTTGCGACCAGAAAAAGTTGGCATTGCCAGCTGACATTTTCGAGTTTCTGTAACTATAACCGTAACTGCCCCTCTGTTGCCTTTCACAGAATCTCGAGCTCATACCTCTGAATAATTATATTTGTAATCTCATCTTGATTGGTTAACTGGAACGGATGCTAGAAGTGCATATGTTGGCAAAGTTTCTTTATGATCACCTTGTATATGCATAAAATAAAGTGAATAATCTTTAGATTAAACTAAATAAATTTAATGCAGTTTTTTAAATAACATCTTGTTGTGCAGCTACTCATCTGTTTCCAATACATCAGCTCTTTTCTAAGCAGATTCTTTTCTGAACCAAACAGTAAATATCTCTTTGTGAAGACACTGTTAAGACATTTGCTGAACATTACCTATCATTGACAACTTTTTGAAATGAAAGGGAGGGATCTGCAAAAAAAGCTCGAAATAACAAAGGAGGAGGAAAATATTAAATATTTTAGCCCTCTTTGTGAACAGTACCTGGCACTTTAGAAGAAATTAATCTTTATTAAATTTAATTTTTTTTATTATTTTTCCCTCCAGAGATCTATACTTAAGGAGTTGAAAGATAAGTTGAGGAAAAAAGGTTAAAATAGAGAGCAGATATAAAAATGTCAAATTAAGCACAGCACGACTGAACATGTGGTAAATGAAGATGCAACTAAGACTATATGTGATCCTAATAAAGAAGCAAACATTTATTAATAAAATATTGTCAATGGAAGCTAGGTATCATTTCATAACAAGTACCAACAATTATATAAAACATTCATTGTACACGTAGTTATGCTTTATTAAGTATGCCAAAGCATTCAATTCTTCATAAACTACATAATAATAAATAATTTTTAAGTAGTTG